CTAGTGGGTTGTGTAGCCGTCAGCTGGCTAACTGAGAGGCTTCCGTGCCACTGACGTCATCAAATATGGTATGCTTGACGTCACGCGGGCTTTGCTGCCAAACTACCTGTATTCTCACGCAAGCTCGATGTTGCCACTTTTTGATAGTGTTAAACGATACGGATGACACCCCCTGGTTGCGCCCAACTTCCTGTCAAGTGCGTGCAGTCTGGCGCATAGGTGAAGGTGTCCTTATTGGACGGATGGGGAAACGTTCCCAATCGCGTAGCCATTCGCCACCGGGCCACGGACAGATGGTGACTTGTCGCATGGGTTGGTCTTTGGAGGCGGGCACAGCGTAAGGCCATTCAAGGGACAGCAAATATGGAAAGCAGCAAACATTGTTGCCTTCCACAGTTGCAGTTATCAACAAAATGAAACAAAAAGTTTTCACGAAGCGACATTGCCGATCTGCGGTACAACAAAAAATGACGCCCAAGACAGCAAAAGTAGGCACTTACATATATACACACACACACACATATATATATATATATATATATATATATATATATATATCTATATCTATATCTATATCTATATATATATATATATATATATATATATATATATATATGCATATATGTATATGTAATGTTCAGGACGGACGGACGGACGGACGGGTCACCTAACCCACTTACAAAATCTGATTATCAATCTAGGCCACCAACCTTCAACATTAACATGTGAAATTAGAAAGAGGGTTTCTGCACTAAACACGCGAACAAACAGTTCCTAACCTCAGAATTCCGACAGGAAACACTTCTATATTAGCTGCGCCAGTTCGGTCCCAAAGCCATGAACGGCAGGATAATCTAACTTCGTGCGGTGTGGCAACGGGAATGGCTCAGATTTTTTCTTTATTGAGCCCCGCTATGAATCAACAGTGACAAAATAGAGGGTTAACAAAGTGAAATTGTTGATAAAGATAATTGCCCTGCTTCATGTTATCTCCTTCAATCGCTATTAATTGCTCACTCTTGGATATCAACAAACATGTTTTACGCGGTTGGTGAATAATTCCAGCATGCCTATGCCATTTTTTGAGCTTTGTAGTCAGAAAGTTTTGAAAAATTGTTTTATAAAGGAAACAACAAAATAGCATCAATGAAAAAAATTGCATTAATATTTTCACCATTGATGTAGCATTAAAGATTACACGAAAGGCAGGCGAAATGTCTTTGCCTCACCTTCCAAAGAGACCAAGACAAACACAAGTAGATAAATGGGTACAAGACTTAAACGTTGTTGTCAAAATTTCTTACCAGCTCATTTAACCAAAAATCGGTGAAAACAAACGCTCAAAGGGTGCCTTTGGCCTTTAAGTTCCATTTATAAGGTACTTGTTGATTTTCCAAGTGATGTCACTTAGTAGTCAATTCTGTTCGAAAAAAGGATGTAGAGCGAAATTTTTACCAGGCTTTGCGCATTGTAAACAACAAAACTTTGGAGATACAAGAAAACCTTTTATTTGACACATATTGAATTCAAGCGGCGTGAGTCGCTGGGTCTCTCGAGCTGAAATGCATCTAGTTCCCTTGCAATGTGCATATATAGGCATACATCCAGAGCGAGGCCGTATGGTATGCAGCTCGTATGCAGTTTGCTGGGCACTTTTCTTTGGTGTAATTTAGGTAAGAATTCTTCCTTCTCTTTTTGCTGTCATGATCATCCCGCAATCATGACAAGGCGTTGTTGGTGTGCTGTGTGCGTACATGCAGCATAGCATGAGCCAACGGTGGATTTTTGCCTAGCTAGGTACATCTAAACCGCTCACGTTTGTTATTGACATACGTCTCACAACATTCCCTTATGATTGGATATATTGATCAGATCTAGCTTCGAGTCATCGACAGGTAGCTCACAGAGGCTCAGGTTTGGATGCTGAATTGATGATTCAGATATAACGATTCACACATGATTCGGATGTAGGTGAAGCCGAATGCAGCCAGGCGTGTTCAGGTGCTGTGGAACCTTATTTATGCTTGGTGGCTCAAATGAGCTAGGATGTCGGCAGCATCATAGGAATAGCTGACAAGATGACATGAGTGTAGCATGTGTGGTTTGACATTTCAGGTAGGAGTGAAACATTCACATAAAATAGGGAAAAACGGTGAACATATTCGCTCTCATAGGGTGTTCTTTAAACTCATAGTCTGCGATTCTAAGACAGTGAAAAATTCTTCCTCATGAGTGTTTTTAACCCAAAAGTCGGCAATTCTGGGACAATGGATTTGGATCACCTCTGTGAGTGGTCCAAAAACTGGTGACTGAAATTGAACCCTTCTATATGCAATACCATCTCATTTACCCTCCGCGCGTTGCCTGTTCACTACTAACATGCACTATACCGTCATCGCTTGGACAGCTGCTAGCCGATTCACGATCTCGGCGTCCTCCTGGACACCAATGTCACCTTTGCCAATCACATAGACTCGACTGCTTCGAAAGCAAACGGATGCTGGGCCAGGATGATCAGACGCGCGCACCCGGACGCAGCAGAAGGCACCCGACGCAGTGCTCATACAGAACATGCAAGGGTCTCCGTCCCACCGGGCGCACATAAGATTCACAGTGCCAATCTTAGCGTGGGTACCATCACCATATCGACATCATTAATCCTCGACCGATAATTCACCCACGTTTGAGAAGCGACACTTATTTTCGGGCAGTCCCGACGTAGATAGCATGAGTCTGATGGAAGCGGTGCGCACTGACCTGATGCGTGCCGCTGGACTGCAGCGTGACGACGCCACGCGACGGCGCAGGGCGAATGCCACCTATGGTCTGCAAGTGCGGGCGTGTCGCCCAGAACTACGCGGCAAACGTGCGTTGGTCGGAGCCGGTTCGTGCCCTGACGCCTCTCGGTCGCGGCGAAACCGCGATGGCTCGGAGGGCCCATCCGCGTAGTCGAGAGTTGGCAGTTGGAGAGCACTGGTGTGAAGGCTTGAGGCACAAATATTTTGCAACCGTGAGGGCCGCAAAACCGTCCGGCTGTTTGTTTAACGACTCGCCTTTTTCAATTGTTTAGCACCAATCGCTTCACTGACAGCATCTGCGTGACCCACGCAGTTGCTCAACCAGGAGTCTGATAGAATCTGTCAATCAAACATTAACAGCATACCACCTGAGATGGCACCGAACATGGGATATTCACGTAACCAAACGTCAGCCACATTTCACTTTATGCGCAAGGGAGTGAATCGAAGCTTTATAGTGAATAACGAATGATACGGATACGAATGCATGCCAAAGACGTCACAGACAGTATTCGAACGAAGACAAAATGTAATCGATGGTGTAACGGAAGAGATAAACACAGCGCGCCGATAAACACAAAGATAGCGAGGGACAGATACCGCGCAAGGTAATCGGTGCAGCGCCATGCAGGGACAGTCCAGCACACTGAAACTTAGAGGGACTGGCAGTGGCGGCAGTGGGCAGCCGCACACGCATGACATAAGCCACGGCGTGCATGCAACTTCATTTTTGGGCCTACAGGCCAAGCGCTGTGCGGGTATGCTTCCCTCGCTGCAGTTGTTTACCAGTATAGCAGCGCCAGCGGGTCAGTGATGCATCTTGTGCTCAGGTGTCACGTCACCCTTGACTGTGGATATGTCTTGCGTCGTCACACAGACTGTGCTTTACTGTAGGGTACGCCTGTGCTCGCGATTGGATATGAAAACGGTATTGCGTAGGCAACACCACGGCCTACGTGGCAATGTAGAGGCAAGTTGAATTGCTGGCGTCACTATTGGAATATTATATGGAAACGCAACTTCCCAAGTTGATGACACCTTCCATACGTTGCAGAACTTGATTAACGGAATTGCCGCTTAATTCCACACCGGAAGCTATCAGTAGACAAGTGTAAACTCGCTATAAGCGCTGCAACTTTTGAGCCAGCAGGCCCGCAGCATGTGGGCATAAAAAGCCCGCAGGGTTTTCACTGGATACTGTTGGCTATATCGGAGGCATCGGTGAGTATTCAACGCATCACTTAAATTGCAATGTGGGTGGCGGTAGCCGAAAGCATTGGGGTCGGCGCTTTTTAGCACTTTTGATACTATCTATTTTTCTGGATATCAAACGTGAGTTCGGCTCCCTGGGAGACCTTTTTGTTCTTGGTGATCAATAAATCTTGCATCGGTGCATCGGAAAGAAAGAAGTATTTTCCTTCACGTTTTGAAATAAAAGGGCACAAAATAAACGAAGATTCGAACCGTGCTAATGGCTGGAGGAAATGCGTCGCGTTTCATTCGCTCTGTGAAAACTGGTCTCCCGTCATTTCACCGTCACCTTCAACAAGTCCATGTTGTATTGTGTGGCTAACGTAGAGCCGCCATTAATAATGGCTGACCGTACCGCATTCGCGGCTTTCACTGCTACGCCATGCACCAGCCCTGCTAAGGCCGAACCGGTTTCTGCTCGCGTCTAGCACGGCTTAATCGCGGCTCACACCAGTGCCATAGCATGACTTGAAAAATTCCTTAACTTCGCCACCGTGGTGTTGTTGGACATGTGACTAGTTGCCAACACGAACTGCGTCTTCTTGCGCCGCTTACTGGAGGAAATGTGTCGCTTTCATATACCCGGTGAAAACAAGTCTCCCGACATTTCACCGTCACCTGCAACAAGTCCATGTTGTATTGTGCAGTTCTCACAGAGTTGCCATTGATAATGACCGGAGTTTCAGTCACTCTGCACACTGTGGGCCGTGTGTCAACAACTCAAAGGCAGTGAGCAGCTGCAACAGTTCGTAATTTCTTTGCACAAAGCGGCGGCCCGTTTTGAACTACGTTTCAGCGGCATGAACTGTTCTGACGGGTTTATTGGCTTCATATTTCACGGCTGTGTGGCCACTTCACTGGTTATCAACAGTAATTGCGTGAACCTCTCGGTACGGAACATCCTGGAAAGCCCAGTTCTCCACCTGAACGCAGCACAGACGCACGGACGCGATGGGTGTGCCTCAGCGGCCGACCAGCGCCTCTGCGAAGTGTTATCCCGAGGTGGACCTGGGCTCTCCGGGCGCCTGCTCCCCCGTCTGGCATCAGCAACGCCCGACCACCATCGTCATCCGGAGCCCGCGGGTCGGTCCGGCCCGTCCGCCGCCGCCCACCGCAGCCGCTCGACCAAAAAGGGCCAAGCCGCTCTGGCGCCGCCTGATCTCTCGAGGCGGGCTGCGACTGCAGCTGCGGCTGGCTTGGGCGCTGGTCGTGCTGTTGTGCGTGTCGCTGCTGCTCGCGCAGGTCGCCGACCGCGTCCACACGCTGCGCCACCCGCCCATTTCGACCGAGAGCCGCAGGGTGTACAACGGGAGCATGCACTACCCGGCCGTCACCATCTGCCACATGGAGGGCTTCAAGCAGTCGGTGGCGGGCCGTTACCAGCAGCGGTGGAACCGCAACGCCGGCACTTTTCAGACGCGCTGGAAGTTGTTCCCGTGGACCAACGTAAGTCTGGAGCGGTTTTGGACCGAGGCCACCTACAGTCCGCGGGAAACCATCACCGCCTGCCAGCTGGGTGACCGACGCACGGACGGCTACTGCCCGGTGACCGCCGGTCTGTCCGGCGGCAAGCACGCCTTCAGTGTCAGCTGGCGCCTGCAGGCGTTGTCGGGTGCCTGCACGACGCTGCGACCCCGCGCCGACCTGCAGCCGCCGCCGGGCCGCGACTGCGGCATCAGGCTCTACCTGAGTAGCCGACCTGACGAGTACAGCGAGCCGAGCCTGGGCGTCGGCTGGACGCTGACCGTACACGACCCGCGCTACGAGTGGTCCGACCTCTCCAGCGGCTGGTACGACTCCCTCAGCGTGCTGAGCGGCGAGAAGGTGCAGGCTAAGCTGGAGGCGAGCTTCCTCTCGTCGGTGGACCAGAGCACCGACCCGTGCGCCACCGCTGACGGCTACAACATGGCGGACTGCTACCAGGGCTGCGTGGCACACCAGCTGGAGACGCGCTACGGCTGCCGGCCGCCGTGGGTGAACGGCTCGCGCCCGCTCTGCGACAACGCCGCCCAGTTCGAGCCGCTGCTGCACAGCGTCGCGGCTCGCGACAGCTCGCAGTTCGGTCAATGTCGCGAGCGCTGCATCCGCCCTTGCGACAACAACTTCTTCTCGCTGTACGTCATGTCGATCAGCACCATGGACGAGCTGCAGCGCAACAACATCAGCCAGGTGGAGATATACTACCCGACGGGACTGACGGCGCAGGCCGTCCAGCGACACGCCTACGGCGGCGTCCAGTTCATGGCGGACGTGGGCGGCCTGCTCGGCCTCCTGCTGGGCATCTCGGTGCTCTCGGCCGTCCAGGTGCTCCAGGACGGCTGTCTCTGGGTGGCCCGGCGCTACTGGCGCCTCGAGGAGCACTGTGAGCACGAGGAGGGCGAGCTGGCCGGCGTCGAGCTGGCTGACGCGCCGTGAGCAGAGCCGAAGCGGAGCCATTGGCCGGCGCCGCTCTCGCAAGAACGACCTCTTGCCGCTCCAACTGTGACCAGGAGGCCCTGCCGTAGTCATTTCTTCTCTTGTCATTCTCTCAGTGAAATCTGCCCTTCTCACTCGATGCATGCTTGCCTGCCACCGTCCGAAGCGTGGACTTTCAATTCCGAATATATTTAGAGAGGTCCACCAATGCATTCACTATCCGGGCCTTAAAGATGGCCAAAATCGTGCGAATTCAGCTAATCCTCACAAAAAGAAAACAATCGGTATTGTTATGACACATTAAGGAAATTGCCTGCCCAACATTTCCTGAAGCTTCTACGCCCATGTCTCTGGTTGGAAGTTTCTCGGAGTGACCGCACAACCCATCCCTTAACCTGGACCAGCCACCCTCATCGATCCTTTCACCTCGCTTCGGGATCAATGCCAGCTCCACGCGGCCGGTCTGAGACCGCGAAAAAAAACTGGTGGCAGCGCCATAAAGCTGGGCACACTTGATATGTACATGACGCGTGTATAACAGAATAAAAATGGTCCCGCTCACGCCAGATGGGACATCTTGGCCTTTCTTTTGAAGGTTTACAAAGCCATTGGCGAGACAAGATGCGAATGTTTGCTGTGCGGAAGCTAATAGGTGGTAACATTACGCATGGCATCGGTATATATATATATATATATATATATATATATATATATATATATATATATATGTATAGTTTCGTATATATATATATATATATGTATAGTTTCGTACATATATATAAATATATATATATATATATATATATATATATATATATATATATATATATTTATATATATACATATATAGGCCGAAAATCCGCAAACATTCGGGTAAATCAAGGTTTTTTAACTTTAAGGTCAGACCTCCTTTGGCCTCCGCTGATGTTATCTGACCTCAGATCCGCTATAGATCACTTTGTTGCACAATAAACAGGCGTGATCTCTAGCGTCGGTTCCGCTCGTGTTAAAGTGACGTCACCGCTCACCCTGCCCTATTTTGGCGGCAACGGATGCCTGCAAATATTCCCTGATGATTTTGATAGCTGTGCCTTGATTTAGGGATGGGATGAGGAGTGAAAACTTGATGTTCTGCCTTTGACTTTAACTGGCATCGTTTGTGATGCATTTGCCAGCTCGCCGTAACTCAGGCATGTCGTTCTGGCCGCGGTGTCGTTGTGGCTACAGTTGGCCTTCAGCAAAGCGTCTGTGAGAGATTGCCAGTTGACTCTACGTACTCTGCACGACGAGAGCAGGGAGTCCCGAGGTGTCACTGTCTCGCTTAAAAAAGCTACGGACACTGGCCTTCGCAGTAGATGCGGACCTTAATTCTCTCCTGCGTAGTCATTTTCATTTACATCTATTTTATTGTAGGCGCCTCCGCCTGGCGGCTGTTCTACGTCTAATCACGCAAGAAAAAACAGCTCACAGGGAGATTCACGTATACGCAAAGGGAAATAAAATTTGAGTCGATGAATTAGCAATTTCAAACAGTCAGGAATGCCTGGCGCGGGGGGGGGGCAGACGGCCGCAACGGGCAGCCGGTTCCAGACGACGATGGCGCGGACGCAAGCTGCCGATGGGTTGAGGTCAGTCGGACGTCCGGCACGTGCAGCGAGCCGGCACCACCCGAAACAGCACGGGCTTGACGTTGAGAAGACTCGTCGCACGTCACGAATGGAGCCCACAGGGCGCAGGGGGATTTGGGGATGTGTCCAGTACGGGTGAAATGTGATCGTTGCGGCGGACGCCACTCACTGACCTGGCTGCGAAGCCCACCACCCTTTGCAGCCCGTCTAGGTGACACTCGGCCGCTCCATCCCAGACGGGCATGCTGCGGAGGATGTGGGGGAAGACGTGGCTTTGTTCACGGAGCTTCAGAAGTTCAGGAGGTGAGTGGTGCCGAATTTTGAACAGGGATACGAGGATTGCATTACAGCGCTGAACAAGTGGAAAATGTGGGGTTTCCGGGTGAGGTGGTCGTTGGGGAGCGCGCGTGTGCCTCGTGCTGTGCGTATGGATGATGTCAGCTCCCATGGTGGGGCGTGCTACAGCTGCGGCCGCACCAGACACGTCCGCTGCCGGTGTCGCCTGCAGAGCCGTGCGTGTTGTGTGCGCAGTAGACACGTTACTAGGGTGTGCCACGGATCGCTAGTGCCCGCAGAGCGCCCAGGGAAACGGCACCTGGTCCGGTCGCTCGCAGCGGATCGACGATCGGACCCAGAACAACTAGATTCTATGGCGGTTAAGAACTATGATGACATTAGACGGCGCGTGTCAAGTGTCGCGTGTTCATTTCTCCTTGGCACTGGCAGTTCGGTTAGGATTTTGCACCGTTCCATTCTTGACGTTCTCCCAAAAGTGACCACGAAGCCGACCAGTGTCACAGCAAGGCCTGTGTCTGCACAGGCTATGCCGTTGTTAGGATGGGTCAGTTATGACATTTCAAGTTGTGGTGTGACGTGTCCCCTGCCTCCCTTCGTGTCTGACGCAATTAGCGTGCCGTGCTGTTTGGGAGTTGAATTTGTGCAGCACTGTCCGTACGTCATAAAAATGAGCGCGAAGAGCTTTGTATAGGCCCCTGCTGCGTTTGCTCGCTCTGTTGCGGCGCGAGCTAGTCGTCTGGGGGGCTGAAACCAGGTGATTCCACCTAGCGCTGAGCTGGCGCTGCGGTGTCACGCACCCAACTGTGATTGGTGGGCCCCGCACTGATGGAGCCCGGTGAAGTTATTGGCGGTGTTGAAGAAGTGCGTGCTGTTTTGAACGTTGACTGTGCCTGTGTTCCCGTGCTTTTACGCAACTGGACCGCTGAGCCGGCCACCGTGCACAAACAACGCGATTTGGCTCCTGTTGAGGTGAGTTTTGTTGAGAAAATGTCGGTAGATAGTGCCTCTTCTGAAGTCGACGTTGAGAAATGGTCAAGGTTGGGCCAATCACCCCTTACAGAAGATCAGCCAAATGGTTTATATGACCTAGCACTGCTGTATGCGGGTATGTTTGACGGCCTCATCGGTTACACGGACGTAGCCAGTTATGGCATCAATACAGGTCGCTATAAGGCAGGCCCTCAGGCGTGTGCCGCCGCACTTTGTAGCTGTGGTGAAAGCACAAATCAGAGAGGTGGTTGACCAAGGGATCCTAGATGAGTCTAATGGGACAGAGTCGTCGAGGTTAGGTTAGGTTAGGTTAGGTTAGGTTTGGTTTGGTTAGTACCCAGTCGCAGTAGCACCCAGTCCTGTCCAAAAACAGACTGGACAGCAAAGTAACTATCATCCCCACGAACTTGTATGCGGAGAAAGGGATGATGTCGGAGGCGCGCAGGTTGGTCTGCGTGTTCATGACGTGCATGGTGAACAGCACGACCACAGCTTCGAACACCAGCCAGGCGGTGGCTGAGCTGGCCTACATGCCTGGCGCCTCGGGGCTGAACCTCTGCTGCTTGCCGAGCAGGAAGCCAGCCAGCAGGATGTAGGTGATGAAGGCCATGCTGGGGATGTAGAGGTCGGGCGCGTTGACCTTGTGCCGCGGCTGGATGGGCTCCCCCCAACTGTACCGCACCGATCGATCCTTGTAAACTGATATTTTGTATACGGGAACCCATCTCAAGGTGCAAAGCCTTTGAAAACTAGGCGTGCTAAGTATGCACATACATGCAGCTTGTTTATTTTCTCCAGATCAGGTAGATCTTGTTATCTAAGATTTCGAAAAGAAGTCTGGCAATGTGAACAAACCTGGCTGCTTAGTACCGTCAACGTTGAGCACGGACTTGATTCGTAGTTAAGTTACGGCTAGCCGGCTAGTAGACGTGATAAGCTGATGGCTGACGACTAACGCAGGGTTTTTGCTTGACTGTTATGAAGGAGGACAAAATGTTCTGGCATTAAAAATTCATTAAGAGCGCATGTACCAGTATCATGAGTGTTACAAGTTCCATGACCAACACAAATAATGCATATGACGCCCGTGGCGCGTGAAGTTATGTTAGGAAATTGCATGTAAAAATTCATCGGCGTATATTCGACTGCTGCCCTTAGGCTGGGGCCGCGAGAGGCATCGTCGTCCTGTGGCCTCGGGCTTGTGTGCATAAAGTAATTCAGCCGGGCCCGTGCACACGAACGGGCGAAACGCGTGGGGCTCGCAAGCACACGCGGGGCTTTCGGGTGATGAAGTATATCTTTCTGACTTCATCAGAGGGACTCACGACCAATGTTGAGGGCTGCAAAGGGACCCGAACGATCGAGGGTACCGCGGCAGGCTGGCAAAGATGCTCCCGTTGACAGTAAAGGGTCCTCAGAGCAAGCGAGAAAAGCTCAAGACCAATGTGGTGGCCCCTGAACGATCGAAAGTACCCCGGCAGGCTAACATATAGTACCCCGGCCAGAGCACAGGGTCCTCTGAGCAAAGTAAGATTGCCTAAAACCAGTGTACTTGAACGAATGTCACTGTGCGGTGGAGAGTGCCTGACCAGATTAACAGCAAGGGCCCCAATAGAAGTGAAGGGTTCTCCGCAAATGAGATCAAAGGAAAAGACTCCTAGATAGATGAAGAATGTGGCAGTGCGCGTGAATTAATGCCAATGCGCGATCAAAAGTGCCCGGGCAGGTTAACAGAAAGGGCCCAACCGGAATGGAGGGTCCCCCGCAAACGAAATCAAAGGGAGAGAGAGAGAGAGAGAGAGAGAGAGAGAGAGAGAGAGAGAGAGAGAGAGAGAGAGAGAGAGAGAGAGAGGAGAGAGAGAGAGAGAGAGAGAGAGAGAGAGAGAGAGAGAGAGAGAGAGAGAGAGAGAGAGAGAGAGAGAGAGAGAGAGAGAGAGAGAGAGAGATAGAGAGAGAGAGAGAGGAGAGAGAGAGAGAGAGAGAGAGAGAGAGAGAGAGAGAGAGAGAGAGAGAGTTCTAGATCAATGTAGGGGGCCTCTGAGCACCAAGGGCCTCGGTGTGTGATCTTATATGAGCTTGAATAAC